ACACATAGTATGAACTTAATAATTGTTTAATTGATTGCATCATTGAAGGGAATTTAAAAATCACTTGAGTAATAAGTTATTTGACTGTGAGGCAAAATCGCTTTACTCTCACGTTATTAACTTGTAAAATAAGGTAGTTGAACTAGATCAGGGTTCTTAACCTGGAGTCTATAGGTAGATTTTGGGGCATCTGTGAACTTTGATGAGGAAAAATTCTATCTTTATTTTTATTAACCTTGAACTGAAATTTACCATATTTATTGCCATTATTACCATTTATTACCATCAATTATTTAAAAAACATTATTCTGAGAAGAGCATCCATAGTCTTTACCCGATGCTGCCAAAGTGATTCATGACACAACGAAGTATGTTAACCCCTGGATTAGATGATTTCTGAGGCCTCTTAAAACTCTGATGATGGTCTCTAAGGCCATGTGTCAGACCTTGGGAAAATCAGGTAGCATAAAGGAAATGAAATATTTTGTTTTCCCTACTTTGTATTCCTCATTCATTTTTCCTTGTTGGCTACCCTTCCAAGGGTACTCTGATTATTTTATTGTTAATATTTTTTAAAGATAGCACTAAAGAGATGAATAGAAGGAAGCTAGCTCTACAGAAAGGAACCGTGCCATTGGAAGGCATTAAATTTCTATGGTTTTTGTCATTTAAAAACCATTTTCTTTCATATGTTTGATCTTTTTTTTTTTTTTTTACCATGTATGACTCTTTTAGATTGGTAGGACAAGTTTATCACCATTTTACAGGTGTGAGGACATGGGCAAATGTGGATGGAGACATCATAGCTTTTGAGGCATAGTTGAAAATTTACATATTTTATTTTTATTTGAGGTTTAAAAACAATCTAGTTACAGTATAGTCTGAGTGAGAGAGAGAGAGAACGAGAACATAGAGTAATGGAAAGAACTTTGGTTTTGTCGTTTTGATGAGTTGAAAATCTATTTAGTTCACGTATATTTTGTTATGTGAGCAGGGACAACTCTCAACTTCTGTAAGTCTCAGTTTCTCAATCTGTAAAATGGAGATGATAGCATCCATTTGTGATACTTCACTTACTTCACATTTTGATGATCAAAGCAGATGCTATATGTAAAGAGCTTCGCAAAAGCTTTAAATGTTATATAGACATATTAATAAGCATACTGTAATAGAAATATTTTATGTAAACATAGAGCAATAATAAACATCATTTTTATCCATTTAAATTCCCTTTATAATTGATTTTTACAGAGGTGAGACTGGATAAAATTAACATTGCCATTGATATCCCTGAGTACTATATAATTGTGAATTTATCTTGTCATAATTTTTAGAATTACTGACTTAACTCAAGTTCTGGACTTGATTTCAGGAGGATCAAGGTTCAGATCCCACCTGAGAAACTTACTAGTTATGTGACCCTATGCAAATGGCTTTATATCTCGGGACCTTAGCTTCCTCATTGGAAAAATGAAAGACCTCTAAGGTCCCTTCCATTTCTTACCCTGGATTCCTCTAAGATGCAAGAAAATATTTGAGAGCATGGACCATTAAAACAACTAAAGACATTGTCTTTGTAACCATTGATTACAAAAATTATCTTTGAGGAAATGCTCCATTTTTTTTCTCCCTAGATATGACTAAAAGCTTTTAGAAGAAAGCTATTCATGAGTTGATTAACATCAAATTAATCAAGGTTTTGTGCCAAAAGAGAACTTCTCTGGCGGATGAAATAATTAGCCACATCCTAGGAGGATGGATGAGAAGACTTTGGAAGAATAGCTCTTTGGTTTAGATTGGAACCCGCACCTGTCCAATGTACTGGCAGGAGTTTTAGAATTGCTGATATTCCCATAGCGCTCCAGAGAGCCAGGCTGCATGTTAACCATTTCATCCAACCCAGAAAGCAGTTTGCAGGTGCCAGGGAACTGCTCGTGAGATTGGTCAAGACACCAGGTGTTGCTGGTGGGGGAGTGAGGGAAGATATGTTTCTCAGTTTGAGAACAATGTTTTATTAGTGGTTCCTGAAGAGAGGATCAAGTTTAGCAACTGCGGGAAAAAGGTCAATGCCTCTTTCTTTTACTCTGCTGCTATGTGCACGTGTGTATGAGTGCACGTGTGCTTCAGAGCTTAAATTTATTTAATCATGAAACCTACTTGATTATTTTTTAGAACAGTCATTGCTTTTTAAAGTCCAAATCTATGATTTCATCAGTGCAGAAAACTTATCCAGGCTTGTGACTGTTGTGCAACCTTTTGGGTTGCCTAGAGGCAGCTAGATGGCGCCATAATGCACAGAGTGAAAGCCCTGGAGTCAGGAAGACTCCCTCTTCCTGAGTTCAAATCTGGCCTTAGACACTTATTAGCTCTGTAACCCTGAGCAAGTTACTTAACCCTGTTTGCCTCAGTCCCCTCATCTGTAAAATGATCTGGAAAAGGAAACAGCAAACCACTCTAGTATCTGTGCCAAGAAAACCCCAAATGGGGTCACACAGAGTCAAACACAACTGAAAAGACTAAATAACAACAGGGTACCAGGAAATTAAAGGAATTAACCAGGGTCACATATCTACTGTGACTCACAGGCAGGACTCGAACCCAGTTCTTTCTGACAGAGACCAACCCTCTGTCCTCTATGCTATGCTGCCCCTTCACCACTGCTTTTTTTAAACAAAAGATAATGGGCCTGAATCTAATGACAGTGCAAGTTGCTTGTGTTCTGAATTTCTGAGTGGGAGCCTACTCAATCCATTTTTATAGGATAGATTTTTTTTTTTAGTATTATTAAGTTATAAGATCTTTCCTAAACAATTAGATAATTAAGTATCTGTGATTTAATGATAGCACCTAATTAATGATTTTACTAATAGTTTTTTATTTCCAAGTGCCAAATTATTCATTAGTGTTTGATTGTCTTTTGATTTGAAAAAATTGCTTGCAGCACTAGATTAAAAAGCACATAGTGGAGGTTTGCTAGCAAAATGCCAGCTACAGAACACAATCTTCTATAAGGCATGCTTGCCTTGAATCCTTTCCAAGACGGATTATAACTAGAAGTTCTAGAAATATTTTGCAACATTTTTCATCTGTAATGGATTGCCTCCAGCTTAATAAAAACAGGAAAAGGGCACTAGGAGGCTCTTAGAGATGCTTTTCCTACAGCACACTATGTTTTCACAATCACACAACTCAGTGTGTATCTTTCAGTGAGAGATACAGAGAATGTCATATCTCACTGTCTACCATTTGTTGACTTCCTGGAAGCTTTTAGTAGAACAAAATTCAATCTTAAAGGCTTTCCTCAAATCAATAGTCTTCTGTGTATGTTAAAATCACTACAGTCTCTGATAAAGGCATCCATGGAAATAACTATATTTAGGTCTCTGAAGGAGGAGAAGGAGAGAATAAATAGTTATAAAGTACCTACTAGGTGTCAGGTGCCTACTAGGTGTCAGGCACTATACTAATTGCTTTACAAATAATATGTCATTTAATTCCATTTAATAATGATACCCATTGATGTGTTTCAGCATTGTCTGAGGCATAAATCAGACAGAAATGTTCACCTGAGAGTTTTTACCAGTGCCATGGAAGATGCCCCATGCTGAGAAAGAATAGTAAAAGCATTCTCTTTAAATGACATGGTTCTCTAAATGCTTCTGGTGGTAAACGGCATTGGACTAATTGCATCAGGCCCCAGGACACTACAGGACCTCTCAAATAGAATCTATAGTCATTTCTAAAAGATTGGCCTAGCCATCCACAGTAGATGACAAATGCATGCAGCCCAGTATTTGACGTGTGGTTTAACAGGCAGCGCACTGAGTTAGCCTCTCAGTGTCTGTATGTCCCTTGGTCTTGGACATTGCAGATGTATGATGAGCTAGGCCGAAATTTTAATACAGTGATAGTACTAGGCCTAGTCAGATTTGAAAACTCTACTGTATGTGCAGCATTTTCTCATTTTGTCCCCAGTCCCTAGCCCTGTGTCTTCTACGTGGTAGGTGCCTGGTAAATGCTTGAATATTAGATGGAAAGTGACTCAATGCAGCAAACTCTCATCTTTTTCAATGCTGGTGGGTCTCTAGTGATGCAAAATGGCTGGAAATCATGGAATGCCTTAATGTTATAAAAATTAATATTGCCAGAGGCCCGAAAGACAATGGCAAGATTGGGCTTGAACACAATTCCAGTGGAAACTTGTGTGTGAGAAGACACATTAAAAACACCACACGCACACCCACCCACCACATAATGGAGTTTGGAGAGTCAACTGTATGACTTGGCCAACTTTTGAAACAGATCAAATCAGTATCGGTAGCCAATATTGGCGAAACCTGATGACGTAGTGGATACAGCACTGGACCTGGAGTAGGGAAAATTTTCAGCCTTTTCAGTCATGTCTGAATCTTTGTGACCCCATTTGGGGTTCTCTTGGCAAAGATACGAGTGGTTTGCCTTTTCCTTGTCCAGCTCATTTTATAGACGAGGAAACTGAGGCGAGCCGGGGTAAGTGACTTAGGAGTCAGGAAAATGAGCGTTCAAATGTTGCCTCAGATATTCATGGCTGTGTGACTCTGGGCAGTTTGCTTAACTACTGCCTGCCTCAGTTTCCTCAGTTATAATAATAGCACCTACTGCTCAGGGTGGTTGTAAGTATCAAATGAGATAATATTTGTGAAGTGCATAGCACAGTGCCTGGCTCCTAGTAGGTGCTTAAGAAATGCTTCTTCCCTGCCCTTCTCTTAAAACACCCAAACAAACTCCAGTATGAAATCCATCTGGGGAAAACGAAAGCTGTTTTTAACGGAAAGCATGGATGCATCCTTTAACTTCAACCCTATGATATTATGCTCGTCTTTTGTATTTAAATAGAGTCTTGTTGTTAGTCATTGGGCATTTGGGGAGCATTCAATCTGTTTGTATAGGTGGTACAGGAAAAATGAATAACATGAAAATAAGCAAACCTTCTTATAAACTTTGATTGTTTTCTTACTTAGGGTGTGGTCAGACCCACTGGTGGATATGCAGTAATGCTGAACTGGAGCATGTCTTCTATATATGGACTGAAACCAGGAGAGGTAATTGTTATTGTTTTTTTTTTTTATTTGTTTCTTGACTTATTAAAAATATACATTTGGCAGGGTAGCTAGGTGGCGCAGTAGATAGAGCGCTGGCCCTGGAGTCAGGAGGATCTGAGTTCAAATCCAGCCTTAGACACTTACTAGTTGTGTGACCCTGAGTAAGTCATTTAACCCTGATTGCTTTCCTCCAAAAAAGCAAATAAACAAGATATACATTTTCCCATATATTTTGTTTTTACATCACCTATCTTTCCCCTAATATCCATCCATTCTCTCCATTTCCAGAGAGCTATCCCTTATTAGAGAATTTTTTTTTAATTATAAAGAAAAAGGAAAAAAGAAAAAAAAATCAGCAAAACTGAATAATATATTAGACAAAAAAGCTGACAGTGACTGGGTTACTGTGTGACCTTGGGCAAGTTACTTAACCTCTTTCATACCTTACCCTTCCCTTTTGTAAAATGAGAATATTAGTACCCACCTCCCAGGGTTTTTGTGAAGATCAGATGAGATAATACAGGCTGTCCCCAAAGGCACGATATACTTTTAAGCTGAAAATCTACATTAATGCTTAGGATCATATTAATAATAATAAACATTTATTTAACATTTATTTAAACATTCAATAAACATAAGCATGTCTACTATGTATCAGGCACTGTGCTAAGAGCTAGGGGTATAAAAAGAAACAAAAAACAGTCCCTGTCCTCAGGGAGCTTACAATCTGACGGGGAAGATGACATGTAAACGAGTGTCTACAAAGCAAGTTATATACAGGATAAATAGGAAGTAATTAACAGAAGGAGGGCACTAGAATTAAGAGGGGTTTGGGAAGGCTTCTTATATAAAAAGTGAGATTTTAGTTGGGACTGAAAGGAAGCTAGGGAGGTCAGTAGTCTGAATGAGGGAGGGAGAGTGTTCCAGGCATGGGGGCAGCCAAGAGACCAGTGTTACTGGATCAGAATATGTAGAGGCGAGTAAGATGTAAGAAGACTGGAAAGGTTGGGAGGGCTTTGAATGATGAGCAGAACATTTTGTGTTTGTTCCTGGATGCAGTAGGAAGGCACCAGAATTCATTGAGTAAGGGGAGCAGGCCTACATTTTAGGAAAACCACTCTAATGGCTGAATGAAGAATAGACTGGCATGGGTAGAGATTTGAGGCAGGCAGATCGCCCTCCCCCCAAACCCTGCCAGCGGGATGTTGTAGTAATGCAGGCATGAGGTGAGGTGAGAAGGGTGTGCACTAGAGTGCTGGCAGTGTCAGAGGTGAGAAGAGGGCATATTCAAGAGATGTTGCAAAGGTAGAATTGGCAGGGGTTGACAACAGCTTTGGTATGGGGGAATGAGAGGTAGTAAGGAATCTAGGATGGCCCCTAGGCTGTGGTCCTGAGGGACTGGGAGGAGGATTCTGTCCTCTCCAGTAGGGAAAGTAGGAAATTGAGAGTGTTTGGGGGGAAAGAGAATGAGTTCTCTTTTGGACATATTGAGTTTAAGACATCGACTGGACAGCCAGTGTGAGATGTCTGAAAGGCAGTTGGAGAGGTGAGATTTTAGGTAAGAAGAGATTGGAATAGGAAAGGTAGATGTGAGAATCATCAGCAGAGAGATGGTTATGAGTTCCATGGGCATGATGAGATTACAAAGTGAAGTAATATGGAGGAATGAGAAGAGGGTCCAGGACAGAGCCCCGAGGGACATCTAGGAGTAGACGCCATGATCTAGAAGAGGATCCAGTGAAGGAGACGGGGATGCAGCGGTCAGATAGGTAGGAGGAGAACCAGGAGAGAGAGTGGTGTCCTGAAAACCTAGAGAGAAGTGAGTATCAAAGGTCAAAGGCTACAGAAAGGTCCAGGAGAAAGAGGATTGAGAAAAGACCATTAATTTTGGCAATGAAGAGATCATTGGTAACTTTACAGAAAGCAGTTTTAGTGAGGACTTAGATGTGAAAGCATTTGACGTAATTTAAAATGTTACTTAAATGCTAATTGCTGATTTTTTTTGTTATTAATAATAACAATATTTTACATTGTGGAACCTCTGCAAAAGAGTGGGGACATATATCTTTTCATATCTCTTTTTTGAGGGATAAGTTTGTTATTTGTGACTTTGCAACATGAATTTTTTTATTGCTTTGTTATTTTGTACATTTACATGGTCATAATCATTGCGCATATTGATTTCTTGGTCCTACTTACTTAGTTTTGCATCACTTCATTTATATCTCCCTTGCCTTCTCTGTATTCAACATATTTGTTGTTTCTGCTTCGTTTTTTTTTTTTTCCAATGAGCAAAAATGTATTTTCTCTTCCTCCTTTTTTCCTCCCATTGGAAAGGGAAAAAAATCCTTATAATAAATGTGCAAGGTCAAACAAAAGAACTCATAACTATAGTTTATTATGCAGTGCTACTGTTCCATTACTGTACATTCATGGTGCGCAATTTGTGGGCCATTTCTCAATCAATAGGCATCTACTTGAAACAAATACATTTGTGTTTATATTGCCTAAAATTGTGTCCCTGCCTTCTAGAGAGTCATCCCTTATTGTATTTAGAAGAAAAAAAGAAAAAAGAGGAAAAAGAAGGGAAAAAAATCAGCCAAACTAATCAAGATATTGAAAAATATAAAAATATATGTGGTATTTCATAACCTTGAATCCTGCGTGTATACCAAAAAATGGGGAGAAGTAGCATCTCATATCTCTTTTCTGGGTCTGTGGTATTCTTTGAACTTTTGCAACATTTCTTTTTAATTGTTCTGTGACTGTTATTTTATCCATTTGCATCGTCATAGTCTATATGCTTGACTGCTTACTTCACTTTGCATTAATTCATGTATGTCTTTCCACACTTTCCTATATTCATCTTATTAATTTTTTTCTTACAGCACAATACTACTACATTACATTCACACACCACAATTGGTTTAGCCATTCTGTAATTGATTGGCATCTATTTTGCTTCCAGGTCTTTGCTACCACAAAAAAAAAGTAAAATATTTTGATTTAGATAGAGTCTTTCTTGGTGTCAGAGGTCATGGTGGTTTTTAAATCCAGAGAACATGAACTCTCTTTGACTAGGGTTTTCTGATTGTATCATTCTCTTGTTTTCTAGGTTTGGTGGGCAGCTTCTGACCTAGGATGGGTCGTTGGGCATTCCTATATTTGCTATGGACCTCTCTTGCATGGGAACACAACTGTTTTGTATGAGGTAATACATTCAGAACTATCATAAAATGTAATTACATTTTATTCTTTTGAAATGTACAGTGTTATTAGTTCAGTTTTAATTTATGAACTCTGTTAAAACTTCAGTAGGACTTTGGAACATTCTGCAGAGATTATAATTGTCAAAAACAACAAAAAGTGTAGAAATATTTGCCTTCTGTCTTAATTGATGTGATCTAGTTTACATGCAAGTCACCTGAAAAATAGAAACCATAATCTTGCTTTATTGATTCATGAAAATATATTTATGGAGAGGAGAGATTTGGTTGTAGTTATTTTATTGTTCAAAAGGAGAAAAGACTTCAGAATATCCAGCTCCTTTACCTAATTTACCCTTCATTAGCAAGGGCTATGTGTTCAGACCTATATGTATAAGGTATTAACATACCTTCTCTAATCATTACTTCTTATATGTTGTGCATTTACAAACTAATTGGTACATATGTAGCAAAGCTATCCCCTCACATGTAGCAAGAGGAAGGGTGTCTTGTGATGGGGTTGGGGGGTGGCCCGAAGGGAAGCAAGAATAAATATATTTCTAGCATATCCCCTGGCCTATCCTTTTCCAAGAGATACTAATTTGGGGCAGCTACGTGGTGCAGTGGCTAGAGCTCTGGCCTTGGAGTCAGGTGGACCTGAGTTCAAATCCGGCCTCAGACACTTGACACAGACATTAGCTGTGTGACCCTGGGCAAGTCACTTAACCCTGATTGCCTCACCCAAAAAAAAAAAAAAAAAGAGAGAGAGATACTAATTCCTTTGAGGGAGGAGAAGCAGGAGTTTAAGGCAGGCAGTTGCAACTCTGCTCTCCTCAAGGAGAGGGGGTACCGGGCTAGAATTATATTCATCTGCTCCCTTAAATAGTATAAATCTAGAGAATATGCTAGAGCTCTAGTTCTCCATGATCTGTGATGTATCATAGAGTCTAGGTAAAGTGTGATTCTCTTTGTGTGTGTGGTGTGTGTTTTATGTTGCATGTATTCTCAAGTGATAGAATCTGTGTCAGGGCATCTCGACCTGAGGTCTACGATTTTTTTATTATTTTGATAAATATATTTTAAAATTATTTATTTGCTTTGTAATCTTATATATTATTTTATGTTCTTAAAAACATTTTTTCTAAGCAGTCCTAACACAAAAAGGGATAAGAATCCCTGAACTAGATGGATATTTGCTTGATCAACTAGTCCTTGAATAAAAACAGAAAACAGAAACCACATTATATTGCAGTTGTAGTTTAACTTAACTGCACAGAACATAATCTACCTTTAACAACAGGCCTGTCATTCCAATGGGTGTCGGTGGCCCTGGAATTGTATGTGATTGTTCCTGATTCAAGGAACCGTCTGGCAGGTTTTCCACTTTACTCACAGGCTCTAACTGGTCACCAAGCCAGTAAGTGAAAAACATTTGATACCATTGGCAGCTACTTCTATACACTTGGCACTCAATGAAGGGGCTTTGGCCAGACGGATTGCCCATCATTGCAATATTGAGGGTGGAATGGTTGTTATGGTTAATGTGGGGAAGGGGGAAATACATGCATATATACATCTATTCTCTTGTTTTCTAGGTTTGCTGGGCAGTATGTAGGTATTTATGCATTTACACATACACATATATGCACATGCACACATATATACATGTAATATAGACATGTGTGGTTATGTGTAAACATTCTCAGCTTCTAAAAGATTTTTGGTTTTGTGTCATTGTTCTTTGCTAATTACTTTTCCTTTTTTTGAATTTCAAAGAAGAAATTGTCTCAGGAAAGATCCATTTTGGGGAGAAGAGAACCTAAAAGAAATAAAATTGCTGAAGAAGTCTTCATTTATTTTAACAGAAAAATCTAGCCTCTGGAGTTACAAATTCTATCTATCTATATCACCTACTATATCTATAGTGTCTGATGTGTAGAAAGTGCTTAATAAAAGCTTGTTGGTTAATTGATCTACTTCATCTGGTAGTAATAGCTAATAATAGCTATCATTTATATAGTGCTTTACAAATATTCTCTCATTTGAATCTAACAATTACCTTGGGGAGGGGGTAGGGTGCTTTTATTATCCCGCTTTCACAGCTGAAGAAACTGAAATAGATATCTGGTTAAAAGATTGGCCCAGGATCCAATTAGTACATGTCTGAGTCAGAATTTGAACTCAGCTCTTACTGACTTCAGGTCTTAGAGCTCCATCTAGATGCCTCTAGGCGGCTTTATGTTTTGGTTTCTTTCTTAGCACACTCATGCTTTTGTAACTTATAGTTACCACTATCCTTTATAATCATGGATCACTTGGAAGAACCAAATGAAGTGATTTTTTTTTTTTTGGCTGTCCTTGGGCTGGTTTTGTGTGGTGGAGTTTATGGATTAAGTAGAAAAAATGATAATAATTTGGGAAGAAACATAAAATGGAAGAAATTGAAGGGTGAGAAATTAAGAGCGTTTGTGTTCTCAGTTATTTGTTATATTTTTATGGGGTTCTGGCTTTGTACTTTTTAAAAGTCAGTTTTAAGATTTTGTAACAAAACAGTTTTTTCTTCTTGGGTACCTCATGTATTTGTCTTTTAAAAATCATTTTCTGTTTTGCATTCTCAGAAAATGTGAGTGGGGTTTGTTAGCTATAAAAAGATTAATATTTTTGGCTGTTTTTTAAAAGGATCATGTTTTATTTTAAAGTATTATTTTTAAAGGATTATTTTTCCATCAAAAAGTGAAATTGAGAAGATAAAGCAAACCTCTTAAAAGATAGTCTCTTTCATGGCTCTTGTTAAGATGTTAATATTTACAATTTGAACTGACACAGGGGGCCTTCCCTGAGGGCCAAATACGGCTGTTTTCATAAGCCCTCAAGCTAAGAAAGGTTTTTAAGTTTTTTTGAATAAAGTTTTATTGTACTTAAAAAATGTAAAAATCATTCTTAGCTCAATGGTCATACAAAAATGGACTGTGCTGGTTTTGAATAGGTGATGTAATTGATTTTTTTTTTACTACTACTCTTTTGTTAATTTTCATAAATTCCTTTCAAACAAAATGTCTGCATCATTTAGAAACTGACTGTAGTATTCCTCTACCTTGGAACGATGCACTCAAGAATTTCTTTACTTTTAACAATGTAAAACAGTATACACACTAATTGGCAAAGAATGTTAAAAACACATGCCCCTTGTGGTATCCCTTCTCTTCCCTCTCTTCACACCATACCCAGGTTCAGGCTGTAATTGCCGCTCACCCACCTGGGCTATTGAAATATCCTCCTAATTGGTTCCCCTGTCTCAGGGCTCTCTCTACTCCCATTCTTCTTCTGCCATATTGGTGTCCTTAAAGTGCAGGTCTAGCTATGTCATTCCTATGCTCCAGAAGTAACTAAATGTTTAAAATAAAAGCTAAAAGAAAATAATTATGCTACATTGCTTTTAGGTCAAAGTACAATTTCTTCTCTCGATACTCTGAGCTCTTCACATCTCCAGGTCCAAGTTACCTATTCCTTTAAGATTATTCCATGTTAGTCCTCACATACTCTATGCTGCAGTCACACTGACTGACAGGCTATTCGTGATTATTATCGCATGCCTTTGCGCAGTCTTTCCTTTATGCCTGGAATGTTCTTCCTCATCCCCTTTTGTCTTAGAACCCCAGATCCCCTCCACTGGCAGCTCCGGTGCCATCTTCTACACATGACCTTTCCTGATTGCCCCAATGGGTAGCGATGTCCCCCCACCCTTTCCTATGTATTTTCTTATATTCTTCTTCAGGTTCTTCTCTGAAAACATCTTGTGTGTCTCCCTCTAGTAGAATGTAAGCACCTTAAGGCAGGGACTGTCTTACTTTGATATTGATACCTTTGGTATCTAGCACTGTGCCTAGGCACTTAATAATTACTTGTTGAATTAGCCAACAAACACAATCTTACATATTTTTTGACTTACCAAAGGCTTTGCTACACCACTAATCCAGCTAGTGAAAAATCTTATTTCCCAATGTAGTAATGCATATATGTTATATTATGTTATGTTATGTTATGTTATGTTGTATTATGTTGTATTGTGTTATATCATGGCAGCTAAGTGGTACAGTGGACAGAGCTCCAGGCCTGATTTCAAATTCAGCCTCAGACAGTGACTAGCAGTGTCACCCTGGGCAAGTCACTCATCCCTGTTTGCTTCAGTTTCCTCATCTCTTTAATTAGAGAAGTAAATGGCAAACCACGCCAATATCGTTGCCAAGAAAACCCCAAATGGGGTTGCAAAGAGTTGGATATAATTGAATAATAATATATTATATCATATTGTATTATATTACTATATTATATATATATACATAAATATATATATATATATACACATTGTGTGTATGTGTATTGTCTGTGTCTAATATCTGTGAAGGTGAAGCATCATACTCTCATTTTAGAGATAGGAATACCAAAGGTAGCAAAGGTTAAATGACTTGCCTAAGGTCATGCAGGTAATAAGTAGCTGAGCTAAATTTCAAACCCAGGTACTCAGACTCCAAGTAATAGTCTAGCAGGGGAAAAAGTGCTGAATTCTTTCAATTCACTTAAATAATGAACTGTAATTCACTAAGGGCAGCTACTTGGTCCAACGGATAGAGTGCTATACCTGGAGTCAGCATGACCTAAGTTCAAATCTGACCAAAGATATCCAGTATTTGTTTATGAATATATGAGCAGGGCCATCTCCAGTTGTCCTGATCCGTATCTTGCCACTGGACTTGGATGGCTCCGAATTAGAAAGTGAGGCTGGTGACTTTGCACAGCTCTCCCTCACTTAAATCCAATTCACTCACAAGTCATGGAATCATCTTCCTGATGTCATCATGGTCGTCTTTGAGAACAAAGGACAAACAACAACAACTTGTGATGAATATATGGGCTGCTGCTTTCCGTGTGAATTTTGACGTCTAGGTCACACGTCCATTCGTTACTTGTTGTGATGTGAGGTGTTGGTCTAAACTCATTTCTGCCC